TAGTTGACATGATGCTACTTATTTTCAAGTGTACTATTATTAATTTCCTGAATCATTTATCATCCAGACTTCAGTTGGCGTTGTACAGACACTGGTCGCTCTTTGAAAGCCTAAGGCATTCCTCGTACACAGCTTGCAAGTAAAGACCAGTTTTACTCCAAGTTTATTTCTTTTGGTTTGCATCAAGACAGGTTGCTAGTCAGTAGTTCACAATGGCCAAATCTGGGTGTGTGATGGTCGGTGGACAATTGAAGGACTCTTGAGTTTGGGTTTCAATATTGTATGGGTGTTATATTGGTGCTTTTAAAGAAAAATCCAATGGAAGTCCAACTCACCCTGCTAAAGTAAAGATTAATTTTGCATTATGATATAAGTATTGATTGTAAACTGGGGCGCTTATGGTCACAATGGACTTGAAAATCAAAGAAATCTGTATTTTGCTTAATTCTGTCCTTTTCCTGCTCCTTTTCAGTCTGAAGCTGTGGACCTTGAAAGGCTTCAAGCGACTCCATGAGTTCCTGGCCGACATGGGCGTGCCACTCTCGGAGTGCAAGCAGAAGTTCTCAGCCATGGACATGGGGCTCAAGGACAACGTCACCGATTGGCTGGTCACGTCAGCTCGGAAATTTGGGTGAGAACTCCTCTCTGGAGAGTGGAGACTTCTTGGGAACATCCAAAGCTTGTTGCGTAGCTTTTGTGACTTTATTGCTCACATTTCTTCAGATATATTGTTGTAGATGTTATCTAAATCAGAACCCCTATTGAAATGGATATCAAACTTAATCATCCTGTTTCACAGCTTTGGTCTGTAGACACAAATGTGCCTCTGTCTTTTAACAAAAAAAAGGTAATCTCTGATTTTTTTTACAGATTGGAACAGATATCTCTCTCGTCTTTCCATGCCCAGTATGGCTTCAAGAACAAGGTAAATTATCTTCACACTGTTCTACCACTGATAATAAATACAAGAATTTAATTGGCAGATGAATTTTTATGAAATCCAGGAATTGTAACTTCTTGCATCCTTGCCCATATCTGTTCTGATGACTTGAGTGGGCATATCATTTTTGTGTACACTTTTATTCACAGATGTATACAATTTGGCCCTTTCAGCTAACTACCTCAATTTTTCTATTTGTTTTCAAGTTTGACAAGCTTGCAGACCATGTAGCATTAGCCAATAAGCCCCTCTCATCAAAACTTTGAAACCCTTCAATGATGCATATTTCCATTTTTCTGTTGCTTTTGCTTAAAAGTTCTGTGCCTTTGACGTAGCCTATGCAGTCAATGCTCTACTGGAATCTGTGGTGAGTACTTTTTCCTGGTCGCCGATCTTTTTCCTGATGCAGATTTTGAAATATTCACAAGTGTAACTGACTGGGGACTCAGTGGGACTCGGTGATCACTTGCCTGAGGCTCATCAAATCTTGTCTTTGCCTCTTCACGTTTATGAATTTTGTCCTTTGAGATTAGATTTTGCAGCTTGTAGCTGCAATCGCTGATGCAGAAGCAGCCCGCTGTCTGATACAAGGCCAGGATTTAGAGAATTTTCGGTTAGGACCCACACCAAAGGTTTGTCTCTGACGTTGGAGCATCAGATGGAGACAGAGGGCCTCGTTGTTTCACGCGGATCCGAATCGCGATCAGTGATCCGTCGCTGGTTCACTGACACCAAAACCTGCCTAATGGATGGAACGAACCAGCGATGGGATCACTGATCGAGATCCAGATCAGTGTGAAACAAACTGGCCAAGAGCCAAGATTAAAGAAAAAAACCAAGATACAAAAAAAATGTCTGCAGGTTCGTAACGACATAACGACATGTAAAGCGCAAATGACAAATGTTACATATGTGTTAAATGCGACATCTTTATGTGGTCATTCAGCACATGATGGTGATGGTAGTTACAGAGTCAGATTGGCATAGTGACTTTTCCTTCACCTTCCACCTCTGTAGCCAGGTTCAAATCTCACCTAGCTTGGCATGCGGACTGGTTTTTCAGTCCCTACAGGACTTTGGGGAGTCGAGTTGGCAAGGTAGTTCTTTCCTTGCCTCCCACCTCTGTGGTCCCGGGTTCGATGCCCGGCTCGGTCCACACATGGATTGGGTTTTCAGTCCCTACCTGATGCCCAGGGTTTTACCCAGAATATTCCTCTGGGGTTTTCCTCCCACCTCTAAAACTGTAACTGCCTCTCATTGTCTCCTCTTTACTGATGTTGGTGAATGTGGGTCGTTTGGCGGCTGCCCGAGGCGCCCTTGTATGCCGTCGGCTCATCCATGTTTACATGTATTCATTGTTCCACGCTTAATTTCTTCATTGTACAGTGCATTTGAACATATCTATATGAAATTTGCGCTTTATAAATTAATAAATTATTAATATTATTACAGGACTCCATCAGTTTTCCGTTGAATATTCATGCTGAGTTTTCCTCCATACCATAAAATTGATATTTGTTCATTGTTTTTCTTACCATCGTGCTGCAGTCGGCACTGAATGAACCATTCAATGCACAGAAATAAATGAACCAATTAATTACATCGTTTGATAAGCATTTTTCCATTCTTTATTACTTGTGAAGAGAATGCAGGTCCTAACACTATTTTTTCTCTGATTCTATGTACCGTTTGTGTTTTGATTTTCACAACAGGAGACAGAGAATACCCCAGAAGGTTGTTTCTTGGAAGCGCTTGACTGCCTGTCGAGGTAAGTGAATCTTGAGATTTATTTCTGATCTGTTTTGCACGTGAATGCTGTGTTGGGAAGGTCAGTTTTGATCCCAGGATTAAATTACAAGAAGTTTGCTGCAAAAGAAAGTTACTTTTTTTTTGTAGTAATCAATAAAATGATTTTTTTCCCGAAGTAATACAAGTTAAAATGCTTCGTTTGACAGGATGTCTTAAAGTAACTATTTGAATTCTGTTGTACCAGGCGTGCAACCTTTTCTTGGAACAGCTGATTTCCTTGTTTTTTCACTACACACTCATGCCGTTGAAAATTAGAACACACCGTAATGAGTCTTGTGAAGATTGGAATTTCCTTGTTTATTGTCAAAGTCCAAGTTGCATGTCTGATTGTACAATGTACGAAAAATACTTTCTGTCATGTTTGCTTAGCAGAGCATCGTTAGCAAAATAATCCTCCCTCAAGTAATGAAAACAGTTTGAGGTTGACTAACTCATGAAGAAAAGTTTGTATGAAATTTCTGTTGGCGATGAATTGATTGTTCAATTCCCCCCCCCCATCAGATCCAACATTGACAAGCTTTTGCACGGCTTGGAGCTTTCCAAGCGTCAATTCCGTGCCACGGTCAACCAAGTCCAATCCTTGCTGGACATGAGCCAGGTCATCTCGGCCGGGTCGTTCCTCTACGCCTTCATCCAGGAAGGGACGCCGGATACCAAGTACTTCTCCCGGCCCAACTGTCTGGGCATGCTGGCTCGGTTCACGTTGGAAGCCTATGTGAAAATGGTGAGCCCACAAAGCAGCAATTGTTTTGTTAAAGCTTTACGACAGCATATGTTACAGTCTTGTGAAGTTTGTCACACTTCACCGTGCTCTGGTGTTCATTGCGATTTGTGCTTCCACATGCATAACACAAGAAGGGCTTAGGGTGTGCAGTAGGCCTCTGTACTGATGACATCACAGATTGTTTATATGTACTTTTGTATAGAGTACCAAAGAGTGACGTCATTTGAACCAGGAAGTGTATTGCAAACAAATGGTGTACGCACTTGTTCACTCATACACTCTCACATTAATGCCCTTTACACACATAAATGTTTGCATGATGTAATCACGTCAGTACCCTGCATAGCCAGTGGGGTCCATGGTCCACTGAGCACTATAGGAAAGCTCACATTTAAACAAAGTGGTGTTCCTTGTACAGAGGTTTATCGATAGCCAACCAAGACGTTTCATCTCAGTGTTTTCCTTTCGTAGTCCAAGAACAGGAAAGCCAGGACCTTACCACTGGTCATGACAGCACCCTTGAACCTGGAGACAGGAACCCTGTTGGTTGTTGGGATACCGCCCCTACCAGAGTTGGAACAGAGCTCTAAGAAGTAAGTTAACGCATTTATGTTGAATACTCTTCAAGTGAATGATACCCAAAGGGACCTTTGTAGGGGGGGAAGTGTTGCATAGTGTTCATTTGTCTTTGTTGTAGGATCAGCATTCCATTATGTTTCAGGCATAAGAAGCCATGTCTTTTGTAAGCATTTTTACCGTGAAAGCAACTTTTAAAACAGTGATTAGGCAGCCAAATAGTGATCAGTGAATAATTACAGAGTTAATTCTTGAATTTTAGGGGGGGAATTTTAATTGCCTATGTAACTGTTATGAAAGTCTGGTTTTGTCAATTTGTAGCAGAGATATTTTTCAGCAATTTTCATCTGATTTTGTCACCTTGTCAGTAACCACTCCACAAAAATTACCAGATCTTGTGTTTCAAGCCAACTATCTCACAGTTCTTTTAATATTTCTGAAACTTGTTCACGCAGTTTCTTTGGAAGAGCCTTTGAGCAAGCTGGAAAGAAGACTGGCTCAAGAATTCTTCACGACAACTTTGACTCCTCAGGTAAGTCAGATCAAATGAACTTACTCATTTCGGTCTTTTAATAAACATCTGTAACACTGTAACATGTATGTAATAATAAGTTAATAAATACTTTTTGTAGAATAAGCTAAAAGTAACTATTTCAGTTTTTACAATGTTTATGCAAAGATACTTCATAAAAAAATTAAATGCTGGTCTTGTTTTCAAACTTAGAGATGAACCCATTTTTTAAATTTGACATTTTTTTTAAAGCCTGTTTCTTAAATGACTAAATGTGCAAGTGCTAACACCGTCAGAATAGACCAGTAGAGATGAGGGAAGTTACTAAACCAAATTCTTTTATTTTCAAGCCCTGCTGGTTTTTGGTACCGTTTTGGACATCTTGCACACATTCGAAATAGTAAAATAAAATGCAAGAAAATTTAAGTGGAGTACTGTAATTGGAAGTGTCAAATTTATTTCTGCATTTCTTGTTTGTGATTTTTTGTGCAGTAATAGAAATGAAGAACGAGGATCGCAGTAAATTCTTTGATGCTCTGATCTCTCTCCTGACAATCTGATTTGAAGAAACTGAACAAGGCAGTTTGAACTCTTGGAAAATGACCGTGATGATTCAATCAATCAACACAGCTCTTTGTTGAAACACCATGTGAAGTTTTCCAGTAATAAGTGGATATGTAGCTTTACTTAAGAGATTTTTGTATGTGTCCACTTCAAGGATACATGAAAAAAAATATGTTGAGATGAAGTCAAATGTTTTATGAGGACCTAGTCTTTATATGTATAACAATAAATATAAAATTTGTACAATGTGTAAATAAACAATTCTCGTATCTCTTTGAGGTGTATATTTATTATCCGATGCAGGCTTTTGAATGTGTGCATCAACATGGTTTAACTTATGAGTAAAATGATTGCAGTTACACCATGGATCAATCCTGCAGTCCCCTGAGACAGAGTACACTGTTCGAAACGTTGAGTTATTCCCTGATTCTACTCAGAACCACACATACTCAAGAAATAGATTGATCCACGGCGTAACCGCAATCGTTTCACTGATATAGTTCTTTCACTATGAAAACGTTCAAGTCTTATTCGGTCTAACTTCATGAAATTGTTACCACATGCAGAGTTTCTTTAATGAAATGTCTAATCGCTGCGTTCATCAAATCTCAGGTTCAATTTGTGGCAGCTAAGTCCCCGGCTAGAATGATGAACCTCATGTTTATTTTGATTATAAAGTATTGTACACAAACAGATTTATATGCAAATGTTAGATTATCTCTACAAGGCCCTCAAGGAACTACCTATATACATATGTTTGCATAGTTCTTCATAAATACAGAAATTTACAACACTAAATATCAAAGACAAAACCGAAGAAATAACTATTTAAACAATAACTTATAAATACATTACCTCAAGGGAAACCTAATGCATAATTCTGTCTAATTTCAAATCATATTTCAGTATACATATATTATTCTTCCATTAATCAAATATACATTTCAAATTTTTAAAACTTAGTAACCATCTCAAACTGACTCCTTCAATAATTGAGTTTGAATTCCTTTTGGAACAAAAAAAGTTTATGGGGAAATGAACCCTTGTATTTCATGCTCACTTTGTGGACAGCAAGAATCAACAGGTGTTGAGTTATTAGTTTCATTTAAGTAACATTCTCAAGAAGAAACAGTAAAGGTATGCACCCTCTCCCCTTCATGAGCACTACGTGGTTCTGCTTGGAGAAAGACCCATGGCATGTGTTATAATTATTATGTGTATGCTTGATAATCCAGGCAAATGTAGGGATTAAAGCCAATGTGTAGAGTCGGCAAACAAGTAAAAAAAAAAAAATTGGTCTTGGAAGGTATCACATGAAAGTGCGACCAGACATTGCCAAACCAGGCTGAAGTCAGAAGAAAAACCTTTTCATTACTTACATATTTAACCGGTGAAACTTGGATAGTCTTTTTCCCAAGCCGTCTCAGTACAAACTGCTCTTTAAAATAGTTTGAGGAGCATAACGAACAACTAATTATGCGCTCAACTTTGCATGCCACATCACCTTCTGCAGCATGGATTTGGAGGGTTGGCTCTCATGGCAGTAAATAACACATGCATTCAAAGTAGCTTTGCGTCATGGATGATGGACCCCCAGGATCATTTGTCTCTTGTTTTCTGGTATTTGTTAACTTAAATGTAAATAAAGAATGGCAAGTGTAAATATGTAGGTTGGAGTCTTGTAGAAAGCTGTCATTTTGTGTGTGCTCTGGGGCAAAAGCTTCCCCAGGTGTTTTTGCTGGAAAATGTTTTACGAAGCCAGTGCTGATGACAAATTCTTTACATTTTGAACAAGAAAGCAAGTTTGAAAATGATGAGAACGCAACAAAATTTAGTGGTGGAGTTTTGGTAGTTTCAAACTGTGTCACCTCAGCTCACTTCATGAGAATATTCCTTCAAAAAGTTTGTCGTATATGGCTTCGGCATCATCGGCACCCTGTGGCGACCTGGAATGGACAGACAAATCCTTGTTGGGAATCACAATGTCACATGGTAACTGGTAAGTAATGCCTTGTTAACTGACATCAATTTTCTGTTATTACAGTTTTGCTGGGCACAGACAAGGACTTACGTCCATTTCTACACTATGATTTGTTCAAATTTGCACCTTGGCTACATGTAACATACTACTGAGAGAGAGGTTTACTGCTATTAGCAGGTGCTACTACCTTCATGTCATATTCATTATGGCAGGCTGAAGAGACTTTTAGATCATTACTTTATGCATGACCACTCCCATGAAAATGGTACTTTAATGTTGACTGGGTAACGATGTGCAATATGGTCAATCACTCACTTGTCAGGATTTGTGGTGAAGAAATCCCTTGTTTTGTGTCTCCTCAGAAGTGGACTGCAGAGTTTCTTACCACTTGATGAGCTTGGTGGAGAGCGAAGACTTACTGCAAGAGACGGCTGTGGAGTGAGGTTTGATGTCTGCTGATAAAAAGAGGATGCCTTGTGGGTTGGAGACCCCTGGCTGGAAGATTTTGGAGAAGCTATGCCGCTAGTTTGAGGGTTAAGATATGGATGAGATGGCCCCTCGGTGAGCTGTGAATATCCTGGACGATTGGAGTTGAAGGCAGGAGACAGCTCGGTGGTCAATGATTTGGTTGTGTTGCTGCTTGTTGGTGAGGATGGGCTTGCTCCAAGGGATGGCTTCTGAATGAATTCTTGAAGACTGGAGGTGAGGATGGGGGATTTGAGATGCCAGGAATTCTGTGCTGTACTACAGCACTCTGGTGAGTTGGGCTCTGAGTGCTTCAAACTCTGACTGAGAGAAGGGTCTTGGTGTGGAGGATTCCTGCAACTGGAAGTAATGGAAGATTTGTCAAATGGTACAAACCTTCGCGGAAGGCTTATTATTGGAGAGAAAAGACAAGCATTGGAAGAGTGCCTTAAGTTATGATTCAGAGACTTCTTGGTGCTCTGAGCTGTGGGTGGTCCTGATGAGCTGTTCTCAGACTGGTTAGATCTGCTTGCAGTAGGCTTGCAGATTTCTGGAGAGCTCGATGGACTCAACGGGGTATCACTAACTGGTCTTGCTTGGTTTTCTCCACATTTCCTTCCCTGGAAATTGTTTGCAGCAGCCACTACTGGAGACTGCCACTGGTTCTTGTGATCTGAAGTTTCTGAGGTAGAGGACTGGGATGAGGTCACTATCGATCCGGCTGGTGGCAGGGTGTCCTGCCGTGCCTTGCTAGCCTTTCGGGATTCCACCTCCAGGCAGCTTTGCAGGAACTCCTCATCTGAGCTGGAGTTCATGATGTAAGGCTGACTACTATTGTTTATGTCCATGGTGGTATCTTCATCAGACAAGACAATGATGGGCGTGTCCTCAGTGGACACAGTTGGCTCATCCTGATGTGACACTGAAAGGTAAGGAGAATTACTTTCCTTTCAGTAAGCTACCTGCTTATGGCACTGTTATCTTAAAATTGATTTTCGTTCTCAAAGATTTTTACCATTATTTAGTTTGAATTGTTTTGGTAAAAAGTTAAATGCAAGATGTTTTATTACTGCTTTACATGAAAAAGGCCATTTTGTACATTTATTGTTTTGCTTTTTTTGAAAATGTTTTTATACAAAAACCTAAAACAGACATTCCCTAAAACAAAAGCAGACTGCCTTTGGTTAACATGTGAAAAACAAAGATTTAAGGAGTCCATCCTTTTTGCAATGACTTTTTTCTCGTTGAAAACAGCTGTAAGCGTATCACCAACCTGTTGGCAGTTCTTGTGGTATGTATGACATGTGTTGTGTCTTGTAGGCCTTGTCCAACTCATCGATTGTGAATGAGGTGATATTGTTCCTTGATTGACGAGCTGATGGTATCTGTGCTGAAGCGGAGGGGAGCCAAGAGGCTAGAGCTGTCTTGGCTGACACAAAGTCATTGGCACTATACCTGGCATTTGATGACAGTCCCCTTGAGACAGAGAGAAAGTGATTGCCTGATGAAACTTTCTATTACAGAGTATTATGCTGGGAATGGTATTTTTGGGGCTGTCTCTGAAATGGGGAAGACGGCATCGACGTGACATAAAGGTGGCTGTTAGATAGGGTTCACGAGGTGTGGCTTTGAGAAATCAGGCCAAGCTGTCAACAAATGGAACGTCAGAGTTAAGCACCACAAATTCAATGGAAATTGCTTGAGCCAGACATTCCAGGAACAACTGCATGCAGTTGAAGTTTGAGAAATATTTACTTTACAAGTTCTTATGCCTTTATATTGAATTTGGCAGTTTTTATGACATGGTGAAATGAAAACTTTCCAGAGATCACCTTCCAGATGTCTCTTACCGAGTCATACTCATTTCATTGTTGGAAGTCCAGGGTGGATTGAAGCTAGTTGGAGGAGAGGGAATCACGACAGGTGCTTCCCCAGTCTGGAGCTGGCTAATTGTTGGTGATTTCCAGGCAAAGACTTGGCCCCTGCGTCTGTGGACCGCTGTACTGTCTGGCCGGGACTGGAACTGCTGTTGCTGCTTGTGGCTGGTTGCTGACTCTTCGTAACTCCAGAGTTGCTTCTCTCCTGGGTTGTGATGGTGTTGTCGGTACCGGCTAGCTGCTGGCCTGTAGATGTGCACATGTTGCTGCTGCTGTGGACTGTGATGGGGTTGCCGTTGGATCTGGGATGCAAGGGCCGCTTCATAAGGATTTGATAACCAGCAGTTATCATCTGATGCCAGCTCATCAGCTGCATTGAAATATACATCATTTATGGATTACTAGGATGATAATAAAATACATGGTTTATGTACACTCTTTACTCTTGCTTATGAAAAAGATATAACCAAACTGGATTTCCGGACTTTTATTATTTATTTAATTGTACTTTTTCCTCTTATGTGAACTTAAAAACTCTATTGGTCTTTTAATCAAGCAAAACAAGTTTACGCAGTCATATATGTGAACTTCTGGAACAAATAATTTACATAAGTTATCTAAAGAAAACGAAAGCATATAGTTTAGACTGGGGGAAGATGATTACTCATGTACACTGTTGTATCTCAAATGATTGCACAGCAATGCCACAGAATAGGTGTCCTAAACTTGAGGCTCTTATTGTACAGAAGTCTAAGGGGGTGCAGATTAGCTCCACCCTCTTTCACAAAGATCTCAACTATCCCACCTACCATTTATGCCGTCATCATCCTGCATGTATCTATCTAGCACCATCTCCTCTCTGTCTGAGTCTGACCAGGACATGTTGGCATCGTCAGTGTTGGCCCGCAGGTTGTCAGGCCATGTTAATGTAGTTTGATCTGGAATTTGATCTGAGCATGTAACCGAGATTACTTTGATAAGACAATTCTTAACCAGTTAACGTCAGATTTTCTGACCCGAAAAAGTTGCTGGAGGCGGATTTTTTAACTGCAAATTCTTCAACCTTGTAAATGCACTTTGACCCAACCGAGCATGACACATCAATACGTTAACCGCGGAAATGAAAAAAAAATTCTTAAACGAGTGTACAGGTCTTCCATGGAACAAATAAGGAAAATTATGTGTGTTTACACATCATCCGGCGTCAAGCGGTTATGAAAAATGATTGAGAAAATCTACATCAGTAAGCTTCTTTAAAATGCAATTACCCCAAAGTAGCAAATACATGTAGGGCCTCCAGGAAAGCACCCATAAGGTGCAATACCTAGAAATGAAAAGGTCAATATATCACCTCCCAAATGAAAAGGTCAATATATCACCTCCCAATGCTTCCAGTTCCTCCTGATCCTCTCCATCTGTGCTTATCTCCTGACATCTTGACTGCTGGTAAAAGTCCAGCATCTCCCAACCCTTGGCGGATGGGGTGGCAGGTGTGACGGGGTTGGGTTGAGGGGTCGGGTTAGGAGTCGACGTGGACGAAGACAAGGCAGTGGGGACGGAGGGTTTGGATTTGGGTGTAAAGGCGAACCTGTCTAAGTCCACACTACACTTGTTGCCTGGTGCCGCCTGTGTGAGTGATTGATTGAGAATGCAATTCCTTCATGTTTGAAGGTGGGGTCAGGTAATAACTGTCACACAACATAGCGTACATGTATTGTAATACTTGGTTCGAGACTTAAGGCCAACAAAATAAATAGTTGGTCTCTGGTCAGCGCGTGCCTTGATTTTGAACGTGCGCGTCAATAATTTTTTTCCCCATTTTTTTCTCAAAACAGCACCCTCTATTTCCGCACCACCTGAATGTTCGTGAATAGACTGATTCCCAGCCACAAGTCCAAAAGTCAGAAGGGCAATTTGTTCAAGGAACCAGACTAATTCGTGGGTAGCTCGTACCCGGTGATAGATCCGTTACGACTGCTTAATGTTGATGTCAAACACAAACAGTAGACCATGGCTAGGTTACAAAGTTGCAGCCAGCTGATCAACAACAATGGCGGCATGACGTGCTACTACTAGCCTTTGCTCTTTGATTAAATATGCCACTCATTTTTGTGTCCGTTGCCAGTCTTAAAAAGCCAACCCACCCCCCCTAAAAAATCTATTAAAAAAACCGGCCTGCATCACCGCATCAATTCTGAAACTTTGGTCTGACCAGAGACCGAGTATTTTCGGGGGGGGGGGCCTAGTGGAAGTATTTGGGGGACAGGTGAAAAGCATTTCTTTATTGGGTAAATCTCAAGACCAAATTTTTGGAAGTTAATGAAAAACAAAGAGGAAAACTTCAATGGCTATGTCTGTAACTTTAAATAAAATGCTTTAAAATGCACTTGCTGTAGTTCTGAACAATACAATAACAACTGTGAATATTTGAGGACTGAATTTTCTCACTTTGATCCGTTTCACTGATGGTGTTGGTGGTAGCCCATCTGTCTTGGTACGGAGCTCACTGAAGTATTGCTCCAAGCGTGACAGCTTCGGTGCTTTGCTTGTCGCTGATGGCAATGCTGCTGTTGGTGAGCCTTGACCCAATTGCCTCTCAAGTCCTTGAGAGGCAGGCAGCTGTCGGATCGTGGGAACACCAAACTTACAACACTCGTGAGCACAGGAGTCCTTATTGGAGCAGCGATGACTGCAAGGTTTGCGGAAGCCAAACTCAAACAGGTCCTCCTCCTCGTTCCTTTGATCTTTTGGGACAATGAGTGATATTATTTGGTTAATGATTGGAGTCTGCAAATCAATTAAAGGTAGCCATGTGTAGCCTAATTTAATAAGACATGTTATATTGTCATGAACATGCTAGATGCATGAAACAAGCAAGCTTGTATCTTGGAAGATACAGATATTTTAGACTGCACTTGCTTGTAAAATGAACTTAAATTAACAAATCAAAATGTGAAAATAAATTGTGTGTTTAACAATTAACTTTCTTTCTTGTATCTATTACAGGTCGAGATCATTGACTGTGGGTTTTTTTCTGTATAAATATAAATTCTCCCACGCTTTGAGGCATTGCACAAATTGTAAATAAAATATTGAATGTAGTATTCGTGCCACAACATTCCCTGTTGTCTTTATTTATTACTTCTTAACTGAGTCCTTATACCACTCGGTTACACTAATGACAGCAATGAATCAAGCCGGTTCCAATCCCTCCATTCATTTAGACCATATTTCAATCTACGGTCAAAGCTACAAGTCTAGGTCTTCGTCAACAACAGAATGCGTGGGTGAGGTATGCTCACAAGAAACACAGCCATAGCTTTTGAAGCTCATTTCATAGGACACAGCCTTGAAGGCTAGGGGCTGCTTACACACTCTGCTATTGTGTTAATATCAATTTTATGTCATGGATGAACCGTTCATTGACAATGAAATTTCACATATGCACAGATATGTGTGCATCCTCAAGCATTGAGAAAAATCTATGAAATATTCGAAAGCCTGCAGTCACTGGCACTAGAAGTAGCAACATCAGCTTACCAGCATCATTTCCTGGCCACTGAGGATCCAGGTTTGGTATTGAGGTCAATGCCGTGGGCTGACGTCTCTTCAGTGCTTGCTTCGTGTTCTTCATCGGTTCCCTCTCGGATTGGCTGTAAGAACTGTCTGTAGTCATAGTCCTCAGGTGTTTGGGTCCCGAGTAGAATGGAGTGTATGTGTTCTGAACATCAAGACCAACTGTTGGTGAAACCAGCAAGAGATGATGTTCAGAAATTGTTTCAGAGGTCGCCTTAGATATTGGGATAAGAGTATTTTAATTGGTATTAGAATGTTTGTGTGAAAGTTGTGAAAACTTGAAAAATACATCTCTACAGTGTGCTTAACCTCCCCTCTCTTTGAAAAATAATTTTGATTTGTTGAATCAGCTGGAGGGTCAATGGCCCTTAACTGTTTTCCACTCAACTGAGAGTTGAAAAACTGAAAAGAAAAAATCGTTTATTTAACCAGGGACTTTATCATTTTTTAAGGCAGACTTTACAACAATCATTTTTACACCCCCAAAGTTTGTGAAGGCCTATTAAAGTCAAGATTTCTGATACTTTTGCTAATTTGAAGCATTGATACCAAGAATGGCACCACAAATTATCATTCAAGGTCTCGTTCATTCCAAGCAGGAACCAGTCCTAACTTTAAAAGAGTATGCAGCTTTTTATTCAGAAGTGATACCATAATCTTGGCTGATGAGATTGATGCTGAGTTCCTCGGCTTTGTTCGCTCTCTTGACATCAATCCTCTTGCACCATGGCCCTCCTCTTAGAAGCTGAATATCTCTGGAATGCAATCACTAAGTTACAATCAATCCATCCACATTTGTTCCCCTTCGCCACCCCAATTTTTACAGGGGTAATTTTGCTATAACCATTAACACATTTTCATTAACATTTCTAGGCCATCTTACCCTTAACCCCATTCCATCTTATCCACATTTACATACACGTCCTTGTGTCAACTTCCTCTTTTACTTTTCTAATTTGATACCAAAAATCAACCTCAATCGTACACGATTCTCTGCAGACGATTCACGTATAAGCACCAGCAACCAGCGACCACAGTTAAACTGAGCAAGCAGACCCTTCATTTCCCCCCTCCACTAGTCTTGTACCGCTCATTCCATCCTCTAGTTTGAACGTTAAAAACTACACCCATCTTACGTGATTCTCTGTTTGTAGACAATGCAATTATCGGCATCACCAATCAGCAGCAGGCAGCCATGGCTGCGCTTAGCCGTCTGTTTCTCGGCCAACTTTGCCCGGTTCATCAGAGTGATGGTGACGGTGATCTCAGCTGACTGGCTGCTGTACCTTGGAGCCTGCAGGGAGAAAAAAAACCCCACAATTTTAGGGTAAGAGATTCAAATCAAGACTTTACCAATAGATTTCTCTAACTGCCTGGAGTGTGCGGAGTGTGTAATCTTAATTGTGGAGGCTGAAACGTCCTGTGTATTCTAAGTTAGTGTGACTGAAAAGTGTGACAAGATTATATGCAGGTCTAGCGGAACCTTACCAACAGTACAAAATTGTCAGCCTGGGTTACTTGCCTGCTCAAGGGAGACATCATACTTAGGCAGATGAGTGACAGCATCAAGGATCTGGTTGCCAAAGGGGGGATGCCTATTCAAGATCTAATAACAAAATACAGAAACCTCCTGTAAGTTCTGATAATTGGATTTCGCAAGCACTCCAAGTAGTTTTGAGCTTCTTGAAACCATACTGCCTTATTGTGATGGCAAACTTGAGTTACATTGAAAGAAAAATTTAACAGACAATGGTGACGAAAACATATATAAGTAATGCAGGTATTCTTTTAATTTTAAGAAGCTTGTCTCTTTCGTTTCTAACTTTAGGCGTACCAGCTCAAGTTCCCTTGGGTTTGTGCTCTCCAGTCTCTGGAAGTTGACAATGCCAGCATTGACCAAAGCAGTGCCTAAGGCAGGACCGATCTTGTCAATCTGACGCGCCACACTCTTGGAGTTCTCCCACAGTCTGGCTCTGAAGCACTTGGAAATAACTGCTGCGTGTAGGAGCACTTGGAAGTCATTTCTCTGTGTCAGATACTCCAGAAGACCTAGAGGGAAAAAACAAACAGTATAACTGAAAAGAGGATTCAGTGAAATATCATTATCTTTTGTGTTAAGTTTAATGATGCTATTCATTTTTTTTGTTCAAAAATAAGTTGTTTAACTTCCTCCATTTAAATTTGCCTAATACATTTAAACACTAACATTTTCAGTTTAAAAATACAGAGATTTTTTGGGAAGTTGATTTCTTTGGTTGTGGTTCCTTTTACCGGATTTGGACTATTCAGACTTACATCTTGTGAGTCTCTGTCCTGCTCTGAAGATTCGAGTGCCGTCTTGAGATAGACCAAAGTCCTGGATGGGTAGGCAACCCAGGGTAGCTTGGACCAAGCTAAAAAAAAAGATTGAGAAGATTCTAATGAAAAAAAAATTGCCCAGTGCTTGGCAGACAAGCATTCAGGCAACTTTCTCATATTAAAATAGCAAGCTTATTTATGTCTTTCATCCACGCAGTAGATGTATTATAGATGTTTGAACAAAAGGATCACTCCTGTAACATCTGCTAAACTGAAAGAAATAGGAAACCTGCAAAGAGGTTTTCCTGGTGAAGTAGGCAAACAAATTATTCCAACAATTATATCCAATGAAATAAGCAGATGTATCAAGGCGTCAGAATGAGGAAACAAACGTCTTATATCTTACTATTTACGATTCAAAACTCTCTATCTGATGCATTTGAACGAAGTGGTTCCCATACACAGCAGTGCTCAAAGTTACAAAGCAAAAACAAGACGCCATTCACCTACCAGTTAACCTTCATGTCTGTAGACTTAATTTTGCCCTTCATGGGGAACCTGATGGTCACTCGGTTCTTGTCTCTGTTGAGTGTATTCAGGATCTTTCTCTCGTTGACTCTCAACTGAATATCTGAAAACTCCTTGCACTTACACAACATGGTTATCTGGGTAAAAAAAAACAGAAATTGGGGATTACGTCTTCAGGCCATTTTGTTGTAATCCTCATGGACTGGAAATAATCACAAATCAACATCTAAAGTGTTCTTTTGTTTATCTGAAATTAAGTCAAGAAACACAAATTGAAAATTCAGGTTCTTTTATTAATGCTCAACAAATATTCAATCCAGGTACCTTTCCTCTAGAAGTGGACTTTTCACTTTTGCCAAATCCTTGAAAATAAGCATTTGGCCAGAAAAAGGTTGATGTATATGCTTGAAATCAGCTAGACCAGAGACAACAGATTCTTTCGGCCTTACTTTCACTTTTTAAATGACAAAATATGTTCTGTAGTCCTCCAAGGCTGTTTTCTCTTGTAATCCTTGGCCAACTTACCAGATCTTCAATGGACTCTCTTCCTGATATTTTACTGAACTGCTTCATGGTGTCAAAGGCAATGCAATATCTTGCCATCAGCCGGCCTGTTTCTGTAAGTAGTCCAAAAACTGATAGTTTAATTTGCTTATCCTTAGTTTTGTTCCGACCGAGTTGCTGTCAGGCACTCCAATTAATTTCACGAATGGTTTGTTGCATAGGCTCGAGAAGGGCACTTAAAATGTATGACTTACCCAGTGGTTTGAGATCCATGGTTTCTGGGTCCATCTTGACAAGTCCAAAGTTTGACAACAGATTCAGATTTCTGATGCACATATCTAAAGAAAAATAAATATCAACAATTCATCAACAATTGATGAGATCCAAGACGCTTTCAGAGTAGCTGATGCTGCAACTGTTAGGCCATTTGGCAACTGAATTTAACTGGAGTTAAGAAAGTAATTTTCTCAACTATCTGGGGGAGTAATCCTTGCCAATTAAATGAGATGACTTTATGTAATGCTTTGTTTCCATGATTTAACATCCAATAACCTACTTGACTTGATTTCAGCTTCTATTGAATTTTCCACACAGGGCTTTATGGTTAGAATAAAATTCATGATGTACTCTTTACCTATGTAAGCATTATTTAAACAGTCCTCGTATCATGCAATGAAAAAGCTTCCAGTATCTGGGATGCTAATTCCTTCAGTGTTGGAAAAGTCAGAAAGAGATCAGCTAAGCCATGGACCCGCCTACCACTCACCTTGTAGTTTCTTCTCCAGCTGCTCCGTGCTTAGACCCACCGGGATGCCATAGTGGAAGGGATTCTTCATGATGCGGATGTACAGGAAGGTGGACTTGAGCCACTCTAGTGCTATGGAGATGTCACTGATGGTGTGTAAAACTATCTCAGCATTCAGGTGTTCTATCAGGTGGTTATGAAGGCTGTAGGGAAAATACCAGATGACTAGTTCAATGCAATCACGAGAAAGTCAGCCTTCAGTTGCAAGGAACAAATGGCAATATCTACTTTCTGTATTTAATTATTCCCCCCCCCAATTCAAACTGTTACTAACGCATTCTAGGTTTAAGTGTCTGTTAAACTTTTCCTGACAAGATCCTTGATATTGAAGTTGACAGAATTACATGGTTTATGTCTGATAAGTACTGTTTGAGCCTTACCTGCTTTCAATATGATCACATCCATTCAACAGGGCTTCATACTTCCTCTAGATAAAACAAAGACAAGACAAGGTCTTTAATGAAGCATATCAGATCAAAAGAACAAGAATATTTGTATTGCGTGGGCCGTATCAACTTGAATCAGTTTATTTATGGCTACGAGTTAAAATTGTTTGACATCTGGAACTTTCACTTCATGAGAGAGAATAATTTATGACCATATCAAGAAATCAACTGGGATGCCCTCATTATGAAGAGTTAGTCTACAAGGCTGTGAACTATAAACACACAAGGCTATGGTTACTTATTTTACTTTTGATCAATACATTGCTAACAGCCACCTATTCTAGCTTCTTTTACATGGTTAATTTTCAAGTAGTACCATTTTGTAACCTGCTTACTTAACTACCATACCACTGAGAATGCTTTCAACCTTACATTAGTTTTCCTAAGATGACAACACTGCTTCTTTCTTGTTTCACCCACCTTGTTCTCATGCTTGGTCATAATGACGGCAGTGGCTGAGATATCAAACTGTGGCCTCCCAGCCCTGCCGATCATCTGCAGAATCTGTGTCTCGGTGTACTCGCAGTACATGCCGGACACATAGTGCTGGGTGGACTTCACCACCACCAGGTGGGCTGGTAGGTTGACACCCATGGCTAAGGTGCTGGTTGCAACTGGAGCAAGACGGCAAAATAAGAGTCCCCTAGTCTTGTGTATAATTCTTCCAATATATAGTTGACTACAATCATTTCTCATTGTCTAGCTCAGAGTTTTCTAGACAAACAGTAGTTTGGAACAGGAAAACCCAGCATGATATGATTTCTGTTGACAGTGAAATTCCATAAAAACTCAGTCCGTCTATCGTGTGATGTAATTTAGAGCATTTTCAGGGGATGAGTGGTTTTAGATCCGGGTTTGGCAAAAATATTTCATTCATTTCTAGATATTAAACAAAATTTGGAATAAACTGGTTTATTTCAAGATTGAAAAATGCCTGATGTCTCACAGAGTACAGGGAGATCTCCACGGACGAACATTTCTTCCACAAATTTCCTATCTTGGGCATCCAGGCCAGCATGGTGATATCCTACACCATGGAGTAGTGTTTCTGCAAAAATTTTGAAGAGGATATATAGATTGATAAACCCGATATTTGATGTTTCTGATTTTTCACAAAGTCTTAAAGTTTCTTCTTGAGTGAATGGAGCTTGAATTTCTCTGAAGTGGAGTCATCTGATTCAAAATTTGAACACCAAAATAAGCTGAGATGGTTTGTGTACACTTTATATGAACCATTAGAGAACATGTTTTCGAAGTATGCTACCCAACGCGGTGCACAACCTCTATACCAGGCAAGATATGGGACGGAGGGGTACCCCCCTTACCTGTCCAATCCCTATACACACTCTAGACTATTGTTACCTAACACATCCCCCCTAGAAGTCTGTAAAGAAATCCTGAGATTCCAATCAAACAATGACCAACACAAAGGCGGGGGGTTCTCTCCGTCCCATATCTTGCTTCAAATGCCAACCTCATTTCACAACGACCCTTAATTGAACAAATGAAAGCTAAACTCCTGAATCAAAAGACAAGCTCAATATTTTGTATGCTCTAAATACAGTGGAGTTCATCTTACTGAATTTATATTGACGACTTTTACCTCTGAGTTTTGCTTCTCTGATCAGGTTAGTTGTCTTCTGTAATCGTTGGCGGTGCTTGGTATTCATAACGAACCTGGCTTCTTTGACTAGTATGGCGGCTGCTTGCTGAACACTTTTACGAGTCGCACAGAACTTACATCAAAGGTAAATGCAATTGTTTGAGAATAATCATATTATTGTTATGGATTTTATAACTCACATTAACATCTTAATAACAAAATGATATGTATTTTTTTCTGAATATTCTGAAGTGCTTTAAGTTTCAAACTGTCTCTAAGTAATCCATAGACAGTACAAACCACTGAAAACTTATTTACTCAATGCTCTAAATGATTTTATAAGTGCATCTTTTGACAAGATGCCTTCAACTGTTTTCATAGAGCTCACCACAAGAGTAGGCTTTTGGTCAGAGTAAGTGTGTATGACACCACTGAGCCTGTAGTTGAGGGACAGATCAAAGCGGAATTCAGATTGCCGCTCAGAGCAGGGGTAGGACAATACCACCTTTCTCAGTTTGACAGGCCGATGACATTCGTCTATTCTGCAAAATTAAAATCCATACAGGGTTGAACTTTTCCCTTTCATAACCCAATTTATAAAGTATACTTTGATCCACAAAACTAAAACAACTTACCTGTAATCCTACGTTAAATAGTATTCACGTACGCACTAAAAGCCAAATTATTAGTTTACGAACATTGTAAGTTCAAATAGCCAACCCGCATCATAATGAGAAATAGAAAGTGAACTAAAGTTATCCGAATGAGAAAATTTACAGATGTGATGCCCACGTGATCAAATCCTTACCTGTGATAAACTGCATGCTTTCCGCCAGTTTCCAGCCAAGCGGCCACCTGCAAAAAAATATAATAATTTGACACACTTTCGTCATAGAAGAGAGGTCGCACTGATTTCTCAGTGACATTTTTTGTGTTTGCCATAGTTTCAATGTTTCGATTTTCTGGCCTTACATCTTCCATATTTGGGATGGTAGCTGAGACGGCAAGGAATCTCAGCCCTGGTGCGTCCTCTTCCTCTTTCCTGTCCTTCCTTGTTGCCTCTCTGACCGCAGCGGCCTGCACTGTCTTCATACGGCTGATAACTGCTTCCACAGTGGCACCCCTGTTTTCCTCATTCAGCGAATGCACCTGAGGGAAAAGCAAAACATGTGTCTTATACTCCATAAAGAACCAATGGACAAACAGTAGTGCTTTTCACTTGTGATCAAGCAATTGCGATAAACTCTACATTTAAGGCAGCGGGAAATTTGTGTTTAAGGACCACATTTTACACTTTTTGGGGAGTTGGAGAGAAAACGTTTAGACATGTTTACAAATATTTTTCTGCTACTGGCACCCTTAAACAACTTCTTGAAGCAGTGCCAGGACTCAATCCCAATTAAACTCCGTTTTAAAAAAGTCCAGCAGGATTATGTCCACTACATTTTACGGACACAAACTTGAAAGGTATTCAATTTAAATATCACTTCTGTGATTTTTATGCTTTTAACAGTAGAAATCTTTGGCAGATACCTCATCGATGAGGAACAATTTCACTAACTGAACCAGACATTTATTGTCTCTCCATTTTCTGGTCATGCTATCCCATTTCTCCTGAGGAAAGAAAGAATGCATCGAAACAATAACTGTATCACCATTGCACCTGAGACTACTGAATACAATTTCAATGATACATCGTTTGGTGTGTCCTTTGTCACTTTAATTCTTCAAAAACAGTATTTTGAGTTTTCATCGCTGACGGTGAATCTACAAGACTGGGACACTTTAGGCATGGTTTTGTGAATATATGATGAGGATTTCTGAACCTACAGGAGTTGTCATGACAATGTTGATCTCTTGTAGCTGAAAATAGTCATCCAGTTCAGTGTCGCCAGTCAGTTCCTGGCACTTCAGTCCTAAAGGCTCAAATTTGTCCTTCCAGTCTTGACATCGTTGACTGCACAAGGCTTTGATCGGGGCCACTATGATAAAACACAGACCACGGCATGTACAGTGTTCACCTTAACTGATGTAGGTGTTAAACTGCGCGCATTGTTATCTTTGTTGGTCACCAACTCAACATTCGCTAAAAATATATACTGTTTACAGAAAGGAAACTTGTCTTTTTACAAAAAAAGATCAATTGTTGGAACTTCATGTGAATTTGCAGGCCTTTAATATTACCATCTTTTCTCTTGTCATCAAACTTAAGTGTAAGCTTGACTCAATCTTCCTCCAAACTGGCACACTTTGAGTTGAATTTAATCCGGACAAGCTGACAAGAATTCAACGCTTGTTGCATGTACTCACTGTACACAATCTTGGCTTTGACTGCGCTGCTTTTCATTGCCATCAGCAAATGTACGATGGCTAACTCAAACACAGCTGTCTTGCCTGACCCAGTTGGAGCACACACAACCATGTGCTTGTCTGTATACAGCACCTTAGAAGAAAGTTTTTAAAAATGGGAACAAAATTGAGAACACTCATCATGTGAACTCATCACGGTTGCTAGACTTTTAGGAATGGGCACACCGACCTTTTGATAGACAGAAAAAAACAATGCCTGCCTATTTTTCCTAGGCACACGCTACATTTATCTTAATATTTTAATATGGCATATCTTGAGTAATAGAGGTCTCACTGTTTAACAGCTCCTACTCTAGTAAGAATCACATCAAGGATTGATTACAGTTCTAACACTGATGTGAGTACTGAACATTCAACAAATAAAAACAAAGACAAAAACTGAACTCTGGAAGAACCTAATTTAAATTTCTTGAATGGGGGGGGTTGAAATTGCTAAAATGGTTCATTGCATTCTCAAGAGTCAAGTTTTTGGGTGAGTTGGAGGAGGGGACTTATGCAATCAGCACGACACTTCCCTCTCTGACACCTTTGTTTCAAGGGATTACCTAAATGACTATATTGAAAATGTGGACATGCTATTTCTGAATATTAAATTAAGATGTTATATTATTTGTAAGGGCTCGATATTTCTCTTCCTTTTAATAAAAAATGAAGTACTTTTCTCCTCACATCATCCAACACCTTGGACTGCACAATATTAAAGTACGGAAAGGGAAACACACTTCTGTATTTCTTGGCTACGGTGAACTTATTAAGGAATTCAATCTGACAGTCAATGAAGGAGCCAATCTGTTTGATAATCTCAGTGACTTAAAATTAACATTGCTATAGAAATTTGTTGGAAAAGAAACAGAAAGTTGGGCTATTGCTTGGAAGGCTATCATTACCTAATCTTGAGAAACTTCTTGCTGCGATAGCGTATGGAATACTATGGATGTTGATAAATCTAAAGATATTGTTACAATTAAAGGAGAGACTTTTTTGGCGGCAATATCTAGTAAGCCTTTTTAAAATTGTAGTTACTGCACTATACGCAGAAAGGATACGAATCTCATTGACAGGGCGTAGCGTGCTGCCAGGACATGTTGTTCCACCAGGGGTTGTGAATCCTGATAATAAAGTTTTAAAAATCAAATGCTGTGAACACCCAACATGAATATATAGGAATCAAATCTGTCACTAATATAGATCCTAATTAATTTGATTTGCTCTACATGTGCAGTTCAGTTGATTCAGATCATCATCTGGGTGTTAGTGTGGCATATCCCAGCTTTCTGTAGGATTTTTAGAAGTAAAAGCGCACTAGAAAAATAACTTGATACAGGTTTCTTTAATAAGAATTTATTTTTTCTTTAAAACTAACTGTAAAGATCTAAATGAAATCTTGAGGCTTTAGTTACACATTCATGAGGAAAAAAAGACAGGAAATAAAAGAACCTTAGGACTGTTAAGCTTGGAGAGTCCCAATATGAGCTTCTATGAACAAATCACTCACCAGGAATATCCAGGGGACTGTATGGGCTTTCTGTTACCAAAGCTGGTGTTTGACTGATGTGATTTTCAAAGTTTTCCAATCTGGAGTTACTCGTTCTGTGACTAACTGCATCATCAGCTATTCTCACTCTCTTGGGAGTGAAAGACGGTATAAACTTCTGCCTCTGTCTGAAAAGAATTTTACAGCTTAAAGAATTATCATATGAAATTCACTTCATAAGCTTTTTTACTTATAATTTCCATACAAGTCTTTAGTTAATCGATAATTCTTCAATGACAGGTCTGTCTGGTATGAATCTTACTTGGGGGATAGGTCCTCAAGTCTGATTTAGTTCTTTTTATTTTTGGATACAGCTACATTTTCATGTGCACTGGATTCATAATTAGTTCTATTTCCATTGAATAGATGTTTATCTTCTAATTCACTTTGTATCTATGTACGGCATCATTGCAACCAAATTTCTGTATATAAATCTGAAATATATCTGAATTTGTTGGCACTTTTGGTTATATTTCAATTTTGAAAAGTTTAATGCTCTGACAAAATCAAGTACAAGCAATCTTATTGCATATACCTCACTGGCTGAGAACTTGGTATCCAATCATCACTTAGAGAAAATAGCTGCTGGCTTGCAACAGGTTGCTGACTGCTGAATAACTCTTCATCGCTATCATCATCAAAATCTGACGCTGTAGGGTTTTCATACTGGCTGTTTCTATCAAATAAACTCTGACTCTGTGATCCAAAGAAGCTGTCCTCTAGAGGGTCCCTGTTGACTGTGTGATGACTTCTTTTTAAAATCCCACGAGAAGCCGTTGGCACTTTATTTTGAAGAGAAAAACAAGGTGATGCTGAAAGGTTAGGATACAGTCAATCTTGTCAATTACAAAATTATGCTAAAAGGTGAATTTACCTAATAAAGGTTTCCAAATACCCCTACAGCAATGACATTCTGTTCAAAAATTCTCAATGAAAGGATTTTAAAAGCTTTATGGACACAAATCTGATAACAAGTTTATCAACTGAGATCACAGCATTTGCAGTTGATATTTAAAGAAAACTTCCATTAACAAACAAGAGTACTACCATCAACTGTCTCACCTCTCTAAGTGCCATTAAAGAGGATGTAAGTGCCTGTATTAGACACGACAGTTAAAACTTCAAGTTTTGTCTTGTGAACAAATTTCTTGTAGCTGTAACTAGGCCAAATTTATTACACATTAAACTCAGTGGATCTAAACCTGTTTAAAAAGTAAAATGTTTGGATTTGTAATAGTGCTTCAACCTTTGAAATTGTTTTCTCTGATAAGCTGTGATGCAGGTATGCTTATTTCATTATCATCTCCACCATGTTCACAATCCTCCTGAAAAGCCTGTGAGCTGAAGATGTCATCCATTGATGACGGAGGAAGAGGAACAGCACATGACTTGTGCTTGATGAATGGTCGTCTGATAAGAGAATTAAAAATGGAGTTGGCATATGACACACAGTTGCCATGGTTGCAATGTTAAATCACTCAGAAATACAGGAACAGTAAACAGTGGACAGGTTGAAGGTCTCAAGGCCCTGTCCAGTTTAATCGAAAATAGCCAGTTCAGGATATTCAATTATCATAAGTAGGCCTAACGTTTTGATAATTCAGGGAGATTGGAAAAAAATGTTACATTTGACCTTCAGTATTCAATAGTACTAGTTCAGGCGTTGTAAAACAGATCGTTTTATCAGACTAACGTTTGAGAAACAAACAAGAGACCCTAGGCAAACACATTTTCAGTCAAGTTCAAAGAAGTTCTAACTAGGCCTAGCCTAACTTGGCTCGGAGTCTTATTTAGTCCAATGACTGTAGGCCTTCACGTTAGACGTAGAATAGCCTAGCCTAGGTAAATGTGTCTGTATGATCGATGGTCATGATCAGTGATGGTTCACGAAGAAGAAAGAGCATCTTTACAAGCCTTGCAAGCCAAAACTTTCCGGCCTAACGTTAGGCTACTCACACTGTTGCCTGTTTGCCATGAGTAGTACTGTGAAACATCTTTCCTTTTCTAGTTTTCTCTGCGGTAGGTCCACCGTCGTTAGTAAGCCAAGAAAGCCCGCTTCATTCCCTGCGGCCAGGTTAACACGCGTAATTGGTAGGGTACAAAGAAATGAACAAGACTAGACTAGTCAAGCCAGCTAACGTCTGACCACAGTGGGCAGACGAACTGCACAAAATAAATAACAAATCTGTGCTTCCGGTGCAATGTGATTAATACTCAGACGAAAAATCCATCCTGTTCTAAATTGCGCATGTCTTAATGTGCAAATTAACGTGCGGCGACTCTTGGGTGACTATTTTAATACGTCTCAATATTTTATGGAACACCTATTAATAAAAGCATGTAATTGGGCAAAAGTTTAACGTAAAACCCTCATTGATTGGTTACCTGTGATACAGCCGCTCCAGTCCCCCTAAAAATAGACCAATCACAAGTCGTATAGTTGACATTCACAGTGGCTGATATTAGCAGACGACACATTCTATAGATCAATTTTTCATTTCATATAGTTATGTTAAAATAGTTTGTTATCAAAAATATCTGAAATAAAAAAATCTTATTTCTGCACTTCTGAGCAAATGGCAAGGCACGAAACCAAACCATGATCCGATCAACTAGCAACGAGCATGGAGGAAGGCAACGAGAGTGGCCAGTGCGAGTGCATCATATTTCACAGTGCGCTCGGGCCCGGCGCCCCAGCATCAGATAGTACGTGTAGTACGCGCGCGACGCTTGAGGCGAAAACTAGACTCGACAGACTAATCGCGGCCGCGGCGCGGGAAGAATTAAGTGAACTTCTGACTGCAAGTCCTGTGTCGCCGAGTCTTCGTGATGAAACGGTTTGAATTTCTTGAAATGTTACGTTAAGGATTCTTAAGAATGGAATAGATTTATTTGATAGTTGCGGATTTGATTTGGTTGAGTGTATTTCTTTTGAAATGATGAAAATTTGAATTTGTTAGATGGTCCAGTTTCCGGACAGGATGAGATAGGCCTAATGGAGTAATGCAGTGTGGTTGACAGATTGGTCATCGCGTCGCTCAAACTTGCCTGTGGGTGCATGGTCGGTGCCTGTCGGTGCCTGTAATTCATTCTGTAACTCAAGTGGGTAGCAGTGCTCATGGTCTGATGGTGCGGGCTGCACTGGCGTGATTGGTGGGGCTCATTCGCTACACATCGCGCATAAATGATGACGCCGATAAACTGTGACTCTGGCTTGCATGCTTTGCAATGTAAATAGCCTTACTCACCATTAGCCTAGGTTTTGCATATTTCAAATGAGGCAGCATGAACCGAGGGGGGGGTGGCATATGCCTCCCATGGCTCCCTTCTACCCCCGCCCCAAGACTGAGAATGGACATAGCCTAGGCCTAGATCTCTTTCCTTATTCAGAACTAGCCTAAAGCCGCCAATAATTTTGTTATTTTCCAAAAAGTTATTATTTCGGAAAAAAATGTTTTTCCTGTTAGGAATGCTTAAAAAATGGCTGCAAAGTAAATCGGGAGTTCGTAGTGCGCCGGTGTACACATGCATGGTGTGATGTTAGACGGATTGAAGGTAGTCTACTTTCAAGAGTGGTTCCCTTTGGTTCGCATGGACGCATATTCACTGTCGATGTGCAGTATATACACCAACTAATGAATAATGAAAAAAAGCTTCATGGGTTTTTAAATTGTCCCAACTGAAATCCGAGATGTTCAATCTCATGACCTGACTAGGAAAAAGTCTGGATGTAAGAAATTAATTTATCACTAAATTAAGGATCTAGACTATTTCAGAGTGTTTTGATGTTTACATGTAGGTTTAAGTATATACTTAATTAACCTTTTGGCCAAATTTCAGGACCTTTACTTGTGATGTTTTGAAGCTACAAAAGACATGAGACGTTCAGCCGCTCCCTCCCAACTTGCATCGGCCAGCAAGCGACCTAGGTTTATGCCGCCCTTTGCAAACAAACCACCAGGCATCTCTACATCAGTAAACACAACCAATACCCCAAAATCATGTGGGTCGAATTCACTGAGTACAGCATTTACAAGTACATCGTCTCAAAAGGATATCTCATCCGGAAGCAGATCAACCTCGAATGTTCTCCGACTTATCCAGCTGCAAAAACCTGCTGAACAGCACCCCTGTAAAATTCTGGAACCTTTGACAAAACCGGATCCACCTCAGGCTGTTACCAGTGATGCGACCCAGGAAAATTCATACTCGGGCAAAGTGAGAGAAGACACATCAGATGACAGTTTGACCAATGCTAACCCATCGCCAGTCACACTTCCTAATCAACTAGTAAGACACGATTCAGAGTTATGTTCCAAGCTGACCAATGTCAGTTCTGACATCATCAGAGAGGAACCTCAAGATAAGGCAGTAAATGGTGAGAATGTCTCCTCGACAGTGCAAACAGCGCTTGCTAGCACCTCTCATCAGATCCTGAAGCCAAGAATGAATGGCCTCCATCGGAGTTCATTCAGACAGCCGCTGCTACACAAAGCCCCTCCCTTGAAAACTGCCACTGAAGAAAATCTGAAGAAACCTGCGTCTCACTACTACAGTGTGGTTTGGTAAGTTTATTGTGCGGACTATCCCCTTGAGCAGGAGTACCCCGTCATTAGTTAAAAGAGCCATGTTGGTAGGGAGTGTTCATTTTGTTGGTAGCCACATGACCGTAATGTGTGCATCTCATAGTCCTTTGCGAACCAGTGATTTGCAGTTCCTACCAAAGGAGCTTCTATTGATGGGAAAATTGCGCCCGCTCTTGCTTTGGCTCAGGGTGGATGTTGCATACAACAACAATGTACTAGTGAGATTGAAAATGATTAGTAAATAAAGTTGATATTTGTGTCCGACACATTGCATGATGCAGTGAATTAATATGTCTCTAAACCCCCTAGGGATCATTGAAATTGTGCTTGTTGGGTTCAGAATGAATAGGGTTAAAGTACTCAACCAAACAATGCATTTTCAAGGAGAGTAGTTGTACTTGGTATTGGATGACCTATGACCTTTTAAACAATATTCATCTTTGCACTGACATCTTTCATTTTCCAATTTACTTGTTTGATTTACTAACCTTGATGTGAGGCTATCTATGGCTGAGGCTCTCCACTGCAGCAAAGCTAATTACCAAAAGCTGTAGCCACAAAACTCTCAACTCCAACATGGCCTGACATAACCGACGGCAGACCATGTTGACATGTTAAAGACCATGTTGTGATGAAAAAGTTACTCTTTGTTCTTGTCAATGTCAGGTGCAAGTTGTCCAAGAAGAAGCACAAGAAGTGGGAAGGAGACGGTAAGCTATGAGAACAGACATCTGAAGAGAATAGAAACAGTGACCAGTAACATCACTGATGCTGCCCTAGCCTGTGCAGCTTTTGAGGGAAGACTGCTAAATGAAGTTTGATCAAGTAGTGCGATACTGGTAAAAGTTCAGCAATGCCTGATATAAAATAATTCTGTTGTTTTGCAGCTATACTGGTTACCAAGGGAAAATCAGTTACACTTCTAGACACAGAAGGAAAGGAGTAAGTAGCTCTCTGTGTTGGTTTCACTTGTAAACATTTACAAAAATCCATGCCTAGACAAGTGTGTGTTTGATTCCTAGAAGTGAAGTGACGAGACCTATACAGAGGTCAATATACGTGATCAACATATGAACAGTTAACACAATGTCCCTTTCTTTGCTCAAGGATTGGCAAGGGCCGAGGATACAAGTCAAGTGAGCTTAGTAGTATGGCTGAAGGCCACACACTGTGCATTGGAGGAAAGGAGATAGAGGTAGGTTTGCCTCTCCAGCCAATAATTATGTGTGTATAAGGAATTAGCGTGAGAACAAGTGCATGAAGCAATATGAGCACACTCCATTCATTTGTCCTGCAAATGGTTCAAATGTGGTCATCCTTCAGAAATTGATAGCATAGTACAAATGACTGCAAATGAGAAAACTGGGCTTTCGTGTAAATATGAGAAAAAAAAGAGATTTTTATACAGTAGCACCTCTATGCAGTGATGCTCCCAAAAAGATTTTTGTGAATTGAAAACTGTCTATTGAAATATCAAATGCCAGAGACTAGACACGGAGAAGTGGAATATAGATTACACAGGTAGTGAAAGTTAACTTCTCTGCATGTAAGGGAGCACAAATTTCAACAACGCTTTGTGAATTTATTGTTCGAGAAAGATTTCCTTGTAAAAGTAAACTAGAGGAAAGACGGTTCTAGTGCAAAGGTTTCTGAAATCTATTTTATAGTCAGATTTAGAATTTTTCCACTGTAATGTGTAAACACCTCACTTTCGTCCTCATGCCGAAATAAAACCTTGAACATCCGCCCAGCACTGAATCTATTAAAATCAAGCTAAACCAAGGTTGAATTTGACCCATTGAGGAGGTAGTTAGTGAATGCCGTTCCAGTGGTAGAGAGTCCCATTTTCTTGTCTTTTTCTCCAGGTTATGGGGGGGATTAAACAGGAAGACTTCACCTCTGGTAAATGCTTCCAGACCACGTCCACCGCATCTTCCTTTCCAGCCGCGGACTCCCTTCCACCCAAGCCAAGGAGGGTAGCTGCTAAACCATTCATGAATCCTCAGAAAGCCTCGTCTTCACCTGCTGGAAATAGTGAGGTAAGCCCCATAGCCTTTTCCTTGCTATTCAGCCACTCATCACTTAGCTACGGAGGTCAAGGTTAGCCCTAAAGCAGATTGAATGGTTTTTGTGGGATGGATTCCTCTCTTTTTTTTCCTGCTACCCGTAAAGCAGGGCGAACATATTGCTAAAATGCCATTCTCTGTTTTTCTTCTTTTCTGCTGCCAGAAAAGTGGATATTTCTTAATTGCTTTGACTAGAAGCACTTACCAGCAAAGAGACAGGCTGGTTGGAAAAATTTCATAGTGGTGCAGGGCACACAGTTGAAGATCACATTACTTGGTTATAATGCTCCGCATATCTCATGCCAAACGTGCATCAATCTGCGCACGCAGGTGCTGTTTACTATCAAGGGAAAGACGCCCTCTCTTGTTCCTCCCCAGAGTGGATTTCTTTTTTACCCTTCAACAAAGGTTCAAAAACAGCATTGCTACTGTCAGAAAGCTGATTGAAATTCTGAACAAATCTATTTTTGTACTTTTCTGCATTGTAACAGAGCAGATATCTTTGTCACAGTGGTCTAATAATGGATATCAGCATTTCGCTTTGGTTCAATTCTTTCTATGTAGCCTGTCACAACCACCAAGTCAGCACCAAAGCCGCTGCATGACCCCACCCATCCCGATGCCCTTGTGATGCCCCGCCCATCCCCTGCCCACCAGTGGGCCCACAACCCCCAGCACCATCCTGTGGTGGATGTGGTCTTGGATCCCTACCTGTCCTCCAAGCTCAGACCCCATCAGAGAGAAGGAGTTCTGTTTCTATATGAGTGTGTGATGGGGTTGCGCAGTTTCCAAGGAAACGGAGCAATATTAGCGTAAGCCAATCGGCCAATCCAATTTTTTTGTTAGAGCTACTTGCTCTTCTGTCCAGTGGTAAATTACAACCAGCTAGCAGCCATGATGTAATTAATTTTAACGCTCGTCAATTTGTCCGTAAGCATCTTGCATCAAAATAATTTAAGTGAAATACAGACAGAGTAAATTCAATAAATGGAGTCTGTAAGATTTGCTTTGCATAGTGCAATGACCTTTCAGTTCTTTGCACACTACTTGATTTGATTCTGTCAGATACAGGCAATGAAGTACCATTTTTCAAGTCTTAAAGTGAATTTAAGCAAAACTGCTCAAACCAGTGAGAACTTGGTTTTCTGATTTTTGCCCTTTTGTGTCTACTGAATTGCCTCATGTTAAATTCATTTTTCTTTGTGTGCTTTTCCTGTAGTGATGACATGGGACTTGGAAAGACATTGCAGTGCATTTGTCTGATATGGTAAGGTCCCGTGCACGTTGTTTCAACAGCAAACAGATAAACAGTGGGAACTATTTCTCAGCATTTACATTTGTGTGCAGAGGAGTTATTGAGATGCTTTGGAAATAAACCCTTAATTGTGATACAAACCAGATAACATGTGTAGTGATATGGAATTGTATAATACCAGCGACTGGGGCCGAGTCTATGGTGCCAGTGTGTTATTTTTAGTTAAATCCACCCGGCATTAGTGGATTCAATGTTTTACAATGTATAACATTGGGACTAGGGGGAGGGTCTCGGGAAAATGGTCAGGAGAGTTTGGTTGAAGGGGAAGGACTACGAAAAGGAGACGAATAAACAGGGATTGACTGGTCCTTCTAGAAGGAAATTTTGAGCCTGTGCAAGACTTCTTATTTAGAGTCTGTTATACATGTATGAAAAGTAAACAGTCATCCACCACTAATGAGGATGTTAGTGATGCACTGACATTGGCCATATCATTTCCACACTATTCTAATAGTCAAACCAGATTTTTTTTCGAAGCAAATTCCAGCTTAACTTTCACTCTTTAAAATAAAATTCAAGTATAAGAAAAGCAAATCTCAATATTTTGCCTCATGTAAGAGTGCCAAGGTACTGGGGAGGACGATTGTGATGTCATGCACTGAGGTTAAGGTGTTAAAAGTGTCTTTTTCTTCAGGCTGAAACTCACACCTTTAATTGCTGATCTGTACCATTTTTCTATTCCAACAAAACGCAGGACACTCTGCAAGCAGGGCCCGTACCGAGCCAAGCCAGTCACCAGGAGAGTTCTGATTGTAACCCCAGGTAGCTTAGTCAAGGTTAGTCCAAGGAAGCATGTCATCCTTGATGCCTGTGACAACTATTTGGGGTTTTTCTGTCCTCTGAGACACTTTTTTTGGTGGTAATATCTGACGTTGCTTTTGGATGGCTTGCTTCTTTTCAGAACTGGTGTCGTGAGTTCAAGAAGTGGCTTGGCAATGAGAGAATGCGAGTTTTTGCGGTCAGTGCTGACAAGAAAGTTCAGGTCAGTTCCGACTTCATCGTGTTTTGGAAAGTACTAACCCTAGCCATGCCAAATCCAAACAATTTCTATATGATATACACACCGTACTCTAAGTTTCAAGATTTAGGCCTAATGATTTATCCTGAAATATATTACCTGTGAAAATGTGTTGATCATTCTACTTTACTCGCTGTATTTTTCTGACATGTGGCTTGTCTTGTTAATGGCAAACGGCAAGGATATTTTAAAGTCAGTTACATCACTTAGCTTCAGTGTGCCGTCGTGCCCATTCACAGAAGACACTCCTACAGTCTTGAGAATAGGGAACCATCAGAGAGTATTTTTCTAAAGAAGGACAATCAAATAGGGAATGACTAGCCAACTGACATAGTGGGATTGGAACCCAGGTCACCTGATATGGAAAGCCGCATGGAAGAAACACACAATATGCATTGATGTTGATGCAGTTATACTTTTCTAACCTTGTAGGGCTCGAAGTCCTCGATTGATTCTGTTTTGCTTCCCTGAAATATAAATCTGGGGTTTCCCCGACACCGAAATGAAATTAATTTTTTTGTTTGCTTCTGTTTCACTGCAGTGATTTTTCAATCATCCAACTTGCTAACTCTTTCATTTCTCCAATACCTTGCCTGCAGGAGTTTGCAAGTAGCCCCATCTATCCCATCCTCATCATCAGCTATGAAATGTTTGTCCGCTCCATTGAGGACATCCGCAAGATCAACTTTGATCTGATCGTCTGCGATGAAGGGCACCGACTTAAGAACACCAATATCAAAACCACATCTGTAAGTCTGCTACCTAGACTCTCCTTATTTAAAATGTACAGTAGACATGGAGGTAACCCTTCCATTTTCCCTCTCAAAATGTTCAAATGGCCAAAGTCTTTGTTATTTTTACTTCTGTTATGTCTGAATTACGACTTTTCTTAAGTTAATATGTGTTGATACATTTCAGCTGATATCAAGCCTGCCTGTACAGAGAAGAATTTTACTGACTGGCACCCCAGTCCAGGTACTTACCAGCTCTTCTGATTATTGGACCAATTTTAATTTAATACAAAATGAACTTCACAGAGAATTGTCTAATTGCATTTCTACTCCTTATTTTAATGATTGATGTTGTTTCACGAATGCATTTTGTTTTTCAAACAACCATCTTTGTAGACGTTATTTTTGAATTTCATTCTTCTTAGAATGATCTGCAAGAATTCCACTCCATTGTTGAGTTCTGCAACCCAGGTGTGCTAGGTGAGTGGACAAAGTAAAACATCTATCAAAAGGAAAAGTTCCTTACACCTGTTTCAGATAGGCATTCTAGGGTTGTACGGACCAGAGACAATCAAAAGCAACTTGGGTTAACCCAATTAAATGTTGGTTTCAGACAGACGAACGTAATACATATATTTGCAATGGGTTTGGCTCACGGCAAGAGCGACATCTGAAACCAAGTCATTCTGTGTCGTTCCGAGTCCCTCCAAATGTCAATCGTTTGCCTGCTAGCACCCCTCGTTGCTCCTGTCTAGACGTTCAACTTCTGCTGTACCTAATTAAAAATTCAGACTGCCCGTTTGAAACGGGTGTTACACCGACACAGAATTTCATATTCCGTTGGAGACCATGCCATCCATGGATTTGAACCCCTTTGTTGTCATAGGCAAACAAAGTCTTCTTCACATCAGTCACATATTTTGCCCGTGAACATTTTTTCATTTCAAACTCATCTCAAGAGGTTGACATACAGTGTAGAGTAGAGGATATTGTATTTGTTTTCATTGAAACTTGGCATCTCTTGGCCACCATAAATAATATATTTATATATAATTTCAAAGGCTGATCTGATATAACTAAAAAGATAGAAAATACTTGGGCATTGTTATTGTAATAAATGTTCCAAGCCACATGTAAGCTTTTCACTTCCAAAACTTGGTCTGACAAATCATATTTATTACAAACAAGTTAGATTTAATATTCTCAAACACGTTTTAAGCTGTGTAATGTAATTTGCAACATTATAAGGGTCCAGTGCCGCATTCCACCGTGTCTACGAAGACCCAATCACCAAGGGCAACCAGCCACAGGCTAAGTCTGAAGAAAAGAAGCTAGCTGCTACAAGAGCCGCAGAGGTATGGCATCAGTTGTCATTAGATTCCGCTGGGTCCTTGCAAAGCCATGGGCATGTATGTAGAGAGTTGTGACCTGAGTGTCACCATTTTTGGAAACAACCTGGCAGGTGTGTGCACCTGTGCACTATGACGGTTGGTAATACAATAGCGCATGCTATGTACACAAAACAATGGCCACTGTGTTTCAAAAACTCTGAAGCTGGCACAACTCTCTCTGACCCTTGATCCTGGTAAATCTGGCAGGGTAGCCTTTGTTGGTGGGAGGGACTAACTATACCCCTAGTAATTACTTAAACTAGCTGAACATGGGTCCAGAAAAGAGATTTCACCTAAAAACAAAAAGGGAGGACGGAATGAACAGATTCAAATGTCTGTTCAATTTCTACTTTTAAATGTTACCAGAATTAGGTCCAGTTAGTTGAGCCATGCTTTGAATCAGTTCATTTTTATT